AAATTTATGTATATATAAAGCTCAATTGTTTCTGCATAATAAGGCTCAAAATACTTGCAACTAATCTGAAGGAATTTTGGGGGGTTTTTTTGCAACGTATTATCATCATAAAAGCTCTGGTTACGTATCTTCTAAGTTTTAAAAATACTAATAAATAGAAGACACAAAAGGAAGCATTTTCTAAGAAACGTAACGTACTTTTGCAGTTGTTTTTTTGAGTTGTAAAATTATCTTCTGAAGTTTCAGTAGATGCAATTTTACGTTATTCCAGCTACCAAGAAAGAAAAACGTGTGTTGTAGTAATCTGCTGTATATGAGCAGTCCTGTTCGTAGCAATAAACCCTTTAATTTTACTTTTTTTTTTTTTTTAGAGGTTAAATGTAGTAGTTTCCGTTTCTGTTATGTGTTTTTGAAACCTACCCTCACCATCTTTCTTGTGTTCAGTTCTTCAAGTCAATTCTATAAAAATTACCCTTCCAGCCTTAATTTCTTGACATTTCTGTTTTGTGAAATTTACATTTCATCTTTCATTCTAAATGACGTGTTGTCTATTACTCACTCACCAGACAGGTCTGGTCAAAGAGGTGAAAACAGAGAAAATGGTATAGTATCTGTTGTTTACAAGATCAAGTTACAAATGGCATTCTTCTTTTCCTTCCCAAAAGGCACTGAGGCGTGAACTGAAGGATAAAGAGCAAACCATTCTCAATGCTGTGGACCAGGCACGAGTTTTCCTTGCTGATCAACCAATTGAGGGGCCTGAGGAACCAAGAAGAAGCTTGCATTCCAAAACAGGTCAGAAAATGCTTACTTTTGGGAATGGTCAAAATGAGAGAAAAAGGACTTACATGTCTCTAGTACATATCTGATATCCTGATTACTTGGTTAGATTTCAGAATGTTCCAAATCACATCTCAATTGCTTTTATTTCAATTATTTAGCCTCAGAACATACACCCTGCTTTATAAGTATTGCATTTTAATGGAAGAAGTAGAAAAATCTGAATTTCCTTTTCCAATTTTTGATTCAAAACATTAAAGTAATTGCTTCTGTCTTCCCTTTCTTCTTAACAGGATGACATATGCACAGTAAGTGTAGTCAGAATAGTAGCTGAAGGATACACATACGAATACATAATTTTCCCCACCCCCATAACCAAAAAATAGAAAAATATGCCAAATATTGGTGTAAGTAAGTCCTAGAATTATGTTTCTGATATAAGTTACAACATTATAAAATCTTAATTACGTAAGAATTTTTCTTGGTAAAGATAGTAATCTGTTTGTATCAGTTGCTGTAAGATGTGAATAATTTACTGTTCTCAATAATTTACAAAATTACAGTATAGCTGCTTGTATCAGGAGGTTTTGTTGTGGTTTTTTTTCCCCATACATCTCCTTATGCATCTCCATAGCAAACTTTTAAAGTTTGTTCCATGGAAAGTCCTGATCTTTCCTGCAACATACTTTCTATTACTTCCGTGCAAATGTGGTTTCATATTCCCTAATTCAACTTTGTAGATAAAGTTTGAATAGCTGCTGATTAAAGCAAATGAATCATTTTTCCCTGTGATTAGTTCTTGTACCTTAGCTGCTATAATGTATCTTACTACTTCCTTTTTGAACTCCTGACTCCCGAAAACATAGTTTGTCTTTACTGTCAGACTTATTTGATACATTGCATTTCTAATGTTTTGGTCTAAATCACAAGCAACCTTGCAGTTGAAAAGTAAGCAATGCTTGTTTTATATTTGCTCATTTTTTCACACAAAAGTCTGAAGTCACAGATTCTCCTCTGAAAAGCCATAGAACAACCCAACATAAATTATGCCAGTGCATAAAATTTTACCAGTGTAAAATGTTAATTTTGTAGCAGGGGTTGATATCAGTGATTGAGTCAGTGTTGACTGAAAGTGCAAAAGCAGACTTCAGAAAATGAGCTGCATCATAAATTCTTGTTTTGCAATCTATTGTAGTATTGTTGTTATTGTTGTAGTATTATTATTATTAGTTATACAGATGGCAGTGATAACAAAATAGCAGGGAATTTGATGACTGTGCTAAAGTGCATAACAATAATGGCCAGGCAGATGGTCTGTAAGTGATGTATGAGTGTCTGTTGTCATCATATTTGAGAAACGATCAAATGTGTTTGGACTGGGAAGATTCATAGATGTGCATTGAACTTATTTTCCTCCTCCTTGTTCACACTCAGTAGTTCCATAGATTTTCTTGTTTTGAGCACGTGGTGTGTGGGTTAGTCTGGGCTACCAGCCAAACTCCCACCCATCCATTCACTCATTTCCTCAGTGGGATGGAGGCAGAAGATAGGAAGGAGTGAGAAAGCTCATAGGCCAAGATGGGGACAAATGCAGATCCATTACAAATTACCGTTATGGGCCAAACAGATTTAGCTTGGGGAAAATAAGCTATTTATTGACATTTAAAATAAATATTTAATTACTGGTTCAATGGTGAGAAACAGGAAGAAAACATGAAAACCACAGCTTTCCTCCCCTCCTCTTCAACAAGGCAGCAAGTGGTGTGGGAAGGTGGTGGGTCTACAGGCAGCCTAGCAGTTTCTCTCTGCTGCTCCTTTCTCCTCACATCTCTCTTCTGTCCCAGCCTGGGCTCTCCATGGGGAGTATCTGCCATGGAGCTGCTGTTGCTTCTGCTTAGGCCTTGGTGTTCCCTCTACTCTGACTCCTCTTTGTTCCCTCCTCCTCTCTCTCTGGTGTTTTCTACTGTATCCTAAATACGTTCCCTGAAGTGCCACCAGCGTGGCTGAGGGCCTCAGCTGTGCCCTGTGGCGGGTCAGCTGGAGCTGGCCGGCCCCAGCAGCCCCTTACAGACACCATGTGCACAGCACACAGTGGTACACAGCACTGTACGGTCATGATTTGAACACGGGTTTCACTGCTTCTATCAACAAGTAACAAAACCCTTTTCTTTTAAATCATAGTCACAGTAATTGGAAAATCACTGCTTCTTGAGGTTAATTCTTACCCTGTGTAATGTCAGGGGTGTTTAGGAGAGAGGGTTTTCTAATCTGAAGAGGGTAAAGTGGTAATTTTTTTTCTATTTTCTTCAACCTATCTCTCACCATCCACTAATTATTTTTATTTTTTTTTTATTCCTTCCTCCCCTTGCATTGTTGCAAGGACAAGGAATAAGAGAGGTTTAGGAGAAAACTGATTAGAATCAGTTTTGAGCTTGACTCATCAAGACCTATTTTAAGGACCTGTGCATACATACATTCATTGTTCCATCCAGAGAGAATATTTGTTATAAGATGCCTTATGACAACCCATTATTGTCTATAATGTTCTTGCTAATTTCAAATATATCACAAGAATGTAAAATCAGGTTATGAGCAAGCCTTGTTTTTTTCTTCCCATCTTGCCTTTAATGCTTCCTGTGTTGTCCTTCTACTGTACCCTGTAGTAATTGGCACATTCAAACACAGTTCTTCATCTTTCAGGAAATGTCCTTCTAAGTTAATCTTATCTCCCATCTGTCTTTTCTTCTGATTTTGTTTTGCCATGTTTCCATAGGGAGAAAAATGATAAAGCAAGCTTCACACTCTTCTTGCCTGTGAGCTGCTTCAGCATCTGAGTGGAGCTGATTGATAAAACCATCAGGCCAGCTGCTGAATTTTATAGATGGACAGGATAAAGAAATTGGAAATGCCTACATTTTTAGCTTTGTTGTCACATGTCCATGGTATAGGAGGAAATTTAAGTCTAAAAATTTTAATTATAATTCTCTATGGCATAGTTACAGTTGGCTTAGATCCTTATACTGTTGGTAAGGTTACAGGACATGGGAAACATAAAGGAAAGCAGAAATAATGTTTTCTGTCTCCAGGGTCCTACAGACTGATGATACAGCTTTGCTGAAGTTTTGTCCTTAAAATTCCACTGCTGCAATGAGGGATAATTTTTTTAGAAGATAACATAAACTAACATCCTAGCATATTACTATAGGTCTCCACGCTGATTCTCACTGCAACAGTGACTGTTTCCAGGAATCTGCAGTGTTGTTGAAGTACTTCAGTAGCTTCTAGATTCCTAGCTTTGAAAACTGCTATTTGGTAGCAAAGGCTGTTGTGATAAACACATCATTTGAAATTAAGCATTTGCCATCTGTTATCTCTCCTTAATTGAAAGTGTAGGAAGCCCCATAAATAACATCTGTTATAGGAGAAATATATTAGTAGATATCAATGAATTACATGCATATACTTACTATAAGCTTGTAGACACATAGAATATTCACCTCTTTCAGACATAAATAAGAGTCAAACTTCTTTGTTTACTACCACTGAGCAAGTTTGGGTAAATTCTCTGCCATAATTTTTCCTCTTAGCAAGGGAGATCAAACTGGAAATAGGTGATTTACTGTTTTCTAATGTATATAGCAGTCAATATTTCTATTTTCAAACACTTGTGCCTGTCCACCAGCTATTGTGTAAAACTAGCTACTACACACACCTGGGATAGCTTTCTGTTCTCTGCTATGCAGCTGAGCTGAATTTTTAACAGCTGAGTATTGGAAACAGGATGGCCTGAGGCCATAGTGGTCAATTTTATTATCGTTTTGGTTTTGTTTGATTTTTTTAAGCCATGAGGACCTCAGGTTATAAGCAAAGTTATATTAATTCTTGATCTGTATGCTCCGTTATATGGTCCAGTTTTAGCCGAAGTACTAGAATGCTTCCCAGATAGAAGCCATGTTCTTCAAGTTTAACTGTTGCCTTGTTTTAAAGACTCCAGAAACCAGTAAAGATTTGTCTGCAAGAGGATTTTCAGTTATGCTACTAGCAATGCAGATGACTGATGGATGTGAAAGTTAGGATGTTGCTTGAAAAAAAATTCCTTTCCTATACTCTAGAGCAAACGTAGTTCTGAAACACTGTAAATGAGCCTCAAGAAAGCAAATTGGAAACTGCAGAATATTAAACAAAAACTGTATAGAGGAGGAAACATGCTGAGAACGCTTGCTTAGAAGGTTCCAAAAATTTCCGAATATGGATGTTTCAAAGACCCATGTTGGTGTAATAGGATGCCATCAAGTCAGGGAGCCCTATCTCTTGTGCTGCCTGACTTTATTTTCGGGTGTTGTTATTTTGAATTAAAATAGATGCCTTTGTTTTGTTCTGAAATGCTGTTAGGGGATGTATATCTGTCTCCTACAGATTTGCTGAAGAGCTACCTGCCATATCTGCTGTGCCAGGAAAAAATCTTTATTGATCTTTGGAAGAAATAAAAGGCTTGTCACAGTCTGTACTTACAGTGCTTTGGAAACATAGGATTAATTCCTTGCTTCGCTGGAGTAACTGGGATACCGTGGTGATAGCCTTCTTTCCACTAGTACTCTCTTTTCAACAGGAATTGGAAGAAGACATAGTAGCTTGGTAATGCTGTAACAGTACTGTTATATTTGGTTTTTTCTGGTTTTCTGGCAGGAGCAGGCTAAAACTGAGTTTATACCTAAGTTTATGTTTCTGGAGTAACAGAAACGTTGATTGGGCTTCCACTATACCCCTTGTGAACTCATGTTGGATCACACCATTTATTACAAAATGGTGGCTTAATTTTAGTGAGAGGTATCCTGTGTGTTTTGATTATATTGACAAATTACACTGGCTGTGTTGGATAAATGCATGGTTGTCAGGATTGCTGTAATCTTTTTGGGTTTTCTGGAGAGAGATACTATGGGACAACTTAATTATTTCTTTTAACTTGAAGCTATTTTCTCTTTGTTTCATTCTTCCATGTCTTCCCCACTGGCACCCCCTGGGAAATCAACAACCATTATTGAAGGATATGTATACTTGCTAGCATTGTTCTCATTTGTCTTTATCTGGAGCCCATACTCCGGGCCCTTTCCAGAAGTATTCATCATACATGAGGTTAACAGCTTTCATTTTCCATGCTTTCACAGTTCTTTCTTCTACAGACTAAAGGTAATTTGTCTTTCAACCTGCAGAGTCTTTTCTCATTCACTCTTTATTTAATTATATTTCTCTAGTTTGAAGAATGTTCAGGTTTGATAGAAGAAAGCCTAAAGGGATAGAGATGAAAATGACTGTGCTTTGTCTTTGTTTTGACTACATATGCAATAGATATTTGAATAAGAGAAAAAGGTGACATGCTATATTATGCTTGCATGATTGGGTTCTTGGATTCTGAGTAATTGCTACATTTCCACATTAACCAGTTGCTGCTTATTCTTTAAGCTTCCTATTCCCGTCTCATCAGAACTAAGTTTTCTGTCCAAATTATTAGAAATCCAGAGAATACTTTTGCTGGAGTGATGCTAAAGACTTCATTCAATGATAGTACTACTTTTGGTTCTTCTGCTTAGGAGTTTGACGGGGTGCCATTGTGTCTGTTCAAATGATCTGTAAGTTTTCGTAATGATTACAGTACTGTGTCACCCATTGGTTTTTTGCTGCAAATCTTGACTGAGCCACGGAAGACACAACATTTGACATAATGGGAGAGGGAGGAGGCATGAAATCAGGACCAGTTCTAGTATATTTTATTAAGAATATAGCAAAAGTGAAAGGAAATTAATGCAGTTTTGGCAAGATGGAGAGAGATCACTAGTTGAAGTGCACATAATGATGATCAAGCACAGTTGCTTAGAATCATATCTGCTAGAGCCAGGAATAGTTTGAGATCAAAAATAATTTCCTAACCCAAGGAGAATTTTCTTTACTGGTAACTTTCCTGGGTAAGTATTCTCCAAGTATGTAAGCTTGTGAGGAAGCTATGTGCTGTAAAATTCAGGCTTGAAAGTTTCCCTTCCATGGCACTTTTATCTCTGCTAGAGACACAGAAAAGCTTTTGGTGTTTTCATTATTTTGTTTGTGACAAAAAAAAAAAACAAAACCAAAACCTTATTAAAATCAAGTTTTGCCCACAACAGAAGCAGACTATGTTTTCCTTCTCTTTCTCCCTGACTGCAAGGTCAGTTAATATCTTTCCTCTCTTGTAAACAGATGGTCCAGTGAATACAGGCTTTTCTTACTTTCTGAGCAGCTGCTGAAGTAGAGATAATGTAATAAGTACCATTTAAAAAAAAATAAGAAAAGCTGATCTTTGAGAAGACTTTATATTAAGTGGGGACAGAAAAGCAACAAGCATTTTTTCACACTATCTGCGACTGTGTGTAATGACAGACTGGTGAAACAAGTTCCAAACTTACAGAAGAAAATTCTCACTGGTTTTTTTTTGAGGTTTACAATTTTGTGCTATGCAGCCAGTGTCTTGGAGAATGTCTTATCTGCTTGGAAAAGAAGTAATGTGTTGCTCGTTAATAAGTTGGGTTATCATGATGGAAAACATTAAGCTTATACAAGATGTATTTCTCTCTGAAATTAATAGATGATGAGTGGTATTATAGCTCATAAAAATGTGTGCTTAGCTCTATTTCCCTTGTAAATGTCTTTTTAGGGCACATTTACAAGCACTTCCAAGGCTTTTGCAAAATAAAGCAGTCTCACAGTGAATTAATATTTTTCAAATAAAATGTGGCATGTACCCTTTACAATGACACTGATATGACAAATGTTTTGGGTTCCAGTTCTGTTGGGATACTTTTATCACCTTGTCAGTCTGGAATCTTTTTCTTTCTCAAAATATGTGACCAGCCTGTCATGAATAAAGCTGCCTTGTTTTAACTGGCCAGACAAATAAAGTCAAGCTGTTGTTCCCTTCTTCTGTTCCTATTCATTGCTACAGCCACTTTTGTTCTTAATGCTTCTACTGGATCAAGAAGCACTCATTGAATCTGTTGTGTCAGTAGCTTTATAGACAACCAAAAAGTTTTGCAAGATTTTCAGCTCTTATTAAAGCTTTCAGTATGTTCCTTGTCAAGTGACAAGGGTGATCAAGTGAGTGGTCATTTTAAATGACCTGCTAATAATCTAGTTTAGAACTGGTAAGCCCTTGTGGCTCTGGTAACGGGTGAAGGATGATACAAGCACATGATGTTGGATAAAAATGGAAGGTTGTGGCTTTGCATATATGTAATTTCTACTTATTTCAGTTTCTGAATATAATGTCTCCTGTATTCACATGCCAACAAGATGCCAACAAAGGAGGCTTTCTCTGCTGGGTCTGCAATTTTCTTTTGATTTTTCAATGAAGCTCAGTAGTCCCTTTGCTTTTGTAAAGTGTTCCGATGCTAGGTGCTCCATTAATCCTCATTTAAAGTCCTGCAGCTTTTACACCTGAGGCCTGGTTCTCCTCAACCTATAGCTATATCATAGGGTACCTCAGTCTCTGCCACCAGCTGCAGCTTGCTTGCATGCTGCAGTTTAGCGGTATCTAGATTGCTCATGGTCCCTTTGTAGGGACTGTAGTGGATTCTCATTCATTCATCACTGGTATATTATTAATTCCAGTAACAGTTTATTTGATATCTTTACCTAAGCAACTTGTAGCTGTTGTTTTTAGTTTAAAACAACAGTTTTTATCTGAAAGGGGGTTTTGCTTAAAACTTAAGCTTTATTTCTTTTTCTAAAATCTGTTGCAAAGCTTGGGCTAAAGGTCAAACCAGAACTGTGTTGTCCTATGATACAGTTTATTCCCCGCAAATTGCTGGAATTCCAGAGACGAGGTATAATTTATCACAGCATATCTTTTGTTTTCATCTTTATTCTGGTCTGTCAGTATCACAAATTGTGGGTTACTGGCATGTCTCTATATCCTAGAGCTACATACATAATTTATCTCCCTTCACATCTAGTTAAGCATTGCAGCTTAGTTGTGGGTTGGTTGGTTTTTGATTTTTTTGGGGTATTTTTGCACCTCAGATGGCATCTGATTGTGTTGCTGAGTACTTTTTTAGTATTTGTAGTCTAACATGGCTCAAGACTAATATGGGCCAACATTTTTAAAAAATATATAGACTTGGTGGGAAGAAACTGGTTTTGATCTAAACTCCCCGTTACTTTTACATCTGGGAAAAATTGCCCTTCTCAGCAACAAATTGAGTGTATTCTAATTTTTTTTTTAATTTTTTTTTTAAGTCTTGCAGGGACTGGGGTTTTAAAATAAGCAATTCACTGAAATAATCGGTATCATCTCCTGTGACTACATCCTGAGGTTGCGTGTATGCCCACTTTGTCTTTGCTAACATGAATGTGATTTTTGTGGTTGCTGGGTTGTGTGGGATTTAGACACATAAGTCTGAAGTTTGTTAGAAAGAGTATACCATAAGCTTGGCTCTTTTTCAGTCAAAAGGTTCACTAAACATTTTTAGACTGGCTAAACCTGTTTAAGCCATCCTTTTAGGACTTTGGTGTTAACAGAAAAATGGATGTAGAACTGCACAACCACTCACCACATAGTACACCTAGGTTTTTGCTAGTGCAGGACATCCTGATGGTAGAGTGAAAGGTGGTGATAAGTGATCCAGGAACAAAGCACTTTTCTTGTTCTTTCTACATGAAATGGTGTTCGGATTCCCTATTGCAGTTTCCAGTAGGGAAGAGTGATCTTCCATTTCCTCCTTCTGTGCTTCCAGAAGTGACAAACCAGCAGAAAGCTGCCTTTGCTTTGCGGATATCATAATACATGGAAGTAAGAACAGTTTCCCGACTTCTGATCAAGCTTTATTTTGTCATTAGGAGTGATTAAAGTTTATTTCAGTTATGGCAAGGTACACTGTCTTCTACCTTGTATCTGCTGAAATAAATTATCAGTTAACGCTGGACTTACTGTCTTGAGTGTGCACCTCAGGAGCACTGTCTGGACACTGAATAGACACAAATAGAGCAGAAATAAACAGCGTATCTTTTCTTCCGCTCTGCAGAGTTGACCCCTGAGGAGAAAGCTATGAGGATTGCCAAAGCTATGCGTAAGCAGTCATCGGAGGTAAAAGAGAAATGGGAGAACCTAAATGCCAGTGCCACTATCTGGCAGAAACAAGTAGACAAAGCATTAGAAAAACTGAAAGACCTGCAGTGTGCCATGGATGACCTCGATGCTGACTTGAAGGAAGCTGAAAATGTGAGGAATGGCTGGAAACCTGTGGGAGACTTGCTCATAGATTCATTACCAGATCACATTGAGAAAACTACAGTAAGTGTGGAATTCCTGGGAAATATTTAGTCTGTGTGAGAAGCAGACCCCTACGTTCTACTACCCCTAGTCACATTAGCTATATACACACTGTACACTTAAATTCTCATGTACAGTTTAAACTGCTCAAGTGATTGCATAAGCGCATGTGATCAGCAAGCTACAGTAGTGTACAGAATATCACATTCATTGAATGAAAAAAATTGTGTTTGAGGATTTAAATATTTTCTTTCTAGAAATATTGTCTAATCCATAGTTAGGTCATGAGTGTGCTTGGAGCTTTGCCCAGGCACTGGATTATGAGTGAGCTGAATCAGTTATTATTCTGGCAGTTGGCAGTAGGCTCCCCTCCTTTTTGTAGTGGTGAGCTATCAGATCTGTTTGGCCATCATGTATAGCTTTCTTCTTAGAAAACTTAGGAGTTTTTTCAGTCATACAGAAGTAATGCACATGGTTTTAATTTCTGTCACTTAACTTTCACAGACTTCACACATCTTTTGTCTATTTTAGCTTGTATGAGTGAAAATTTATATTTGCCTTTACTTGAATCTGGCTTCTCTTCAGGATTATTTCAAAGTGAAGAACACACATTACCATATTCTCATGGTCATACCCGGTCTTGCAGCCAGGGTTCCAGGCCACCCATGCAGGGCTCGGCACCCCAGGCCATGGCTGCTCATGATAGGTAGTAGTTGTCCCCTGCTTAGTTGCATGGATTGAGTAGGGACACAGTAATGCAGAGTTCCCCAAAGGAGAAATACCCTCTGATAACTAACATTGTCCAGGAAGGCTGACTGGAAATAGTCATAGTGCTTGGGGGAGTGCCTGAATATCAGGGATTCCAGGAGAACATGTGGGTGTGCATGTGTAAGTAGAGAAAATTGATGTTTCAGGCAAGTTTAGCAGTTACTGCCAAGGTTCTGTTTCACAAATGCAACTTTTCACTTATTAAGCTCAAGAATGAATATAGCAAAACGTTAGAGGACCCTGGAGTCATGTACTTGACCATCTATGTCTTCAGCATGGGACACTGGAGTTAAAAGAATGAAGGGCCGTGGGCTGCAACCAGATACTAAAGCAAGCAATAAGATGTTGATGCTGAGTAGCTCTGTGTTCTCAAATTAAGAAATGATTTGTCATATCTTGATGGCTTTTTCTATAAAGAAGAGTAAAGCAAAGTCTTTTAGATTTTCACTGCTGCTCAAAAACTGTAACATCTGCTGAAGTAATAGGGGCCTGCTGGCTGTCCAGAAGCCAAATGCTTCTGGAACAGAAGCTTCTGCTTACCAGTAGGTTCCTTCTGTTCCTGGGCCGGGTGACAGAGATTTTGAAGGGAGGTAAATAATTGAATTTCCAGAGAAAATCTTTTTCCAGTTGTTTTTGGCTTGTTTCATGATGTTTAATTAAGCCGTTTATAGGACTGAACGATTAACTGCTCACAGGAAGCAAGACGTTTGATACATCTTCAACTGTAACTAAAATTTGCATCAATTCTAGCTTAATACTGTATTTAGTTTCATTAAATTCAATAAACCCTTTTCTTCTTTTTAATCATTGTGATAGTTTTACTCTAGAGTTGTAACTAGGTAAAACATAGTACTCCTTTTCCTTAGAAGATGCATTCCTTCATGCTTTACTAATTCAATAATAGCCTTTAAATTGATTTTTTGCCAGCTGCTTAATACTGGAAAACTGTAGTTACTGAAAGCATTCTTTTCTTAAGAGCACTTTACACACTGTAGACTGCTAAAGCTCCTGATAGAGCATTGCATATTTCTTTTTGGAAAGAAAAGTTCTAAAACCATATGGCACCACTAAAAACCTAGTTAAATTGTTTTGGAGCACAATTTGGATATGAGCATTTGAGTAAATAGCATACTCTTTTCTCTAAAGATGTATGTGAAGGAGTGAAAGAATTAATAAGAATACTGAAGTGAGTGAACTTTCTTTGCCAGAGAACTGAGTTGTGTACAGTTATTTAGCATGAGCCGACACATTGGACAAGTCAGCTCCATGTTGTTTACAGTGGTTTTTGTGCTGCTCAGGTATCTGTTGAAAATAAATGAATGCTTCTTACTCTTTTAGGCTTTTCGAGAAGAAATTGCTCCCATCAACTTGAAAGTTAAGACAGTGAATGATTTGTCCAGTCAGCTGTCTCCACTTGACCTTTATCCATCGTTAAAAATGTCTCGTCAACTGGATGATCTTAATATGCGGTGGAAACTTTTACAGGTATTCTCCTGAATGTGTATAGTAGGTGTGGGGAGAGGGATGCTGCTCTTAAAAAGATGTGTTATTAGCATTTGTCCATTATTTCTATCGTTAAGGTGTTACTCCAGTGGTACAAAAGCAACATAGGGAGCTGTCTTTCCTTGTGTAGCTTGGCAAAAACTTTTCCTTTCCCAGCAGTTTACTCACTCAGGAGACCACATTAATCTCTGGAGACTAGGGGGAACTATTACTGCATGGTATTTTGTATGTCTTATAGCAATATTTTTATTACATAAATCATTGTCACTGAGAAATGATGTATGTATTTCTGTTGTGTTTCCAGCTTGTGTGAAAGCTGTTTTATTTTGGTTTTGAGTGTTAAGTTTCGGCAGGGAATTTCACTTACAGTGACTTAAGTACTGGTAAAACTGTAACCAGATGTGAGCAATAGAACATTTAGCATTATAAAACAGAAGAGGATATGCTGTATGAAAGATTCATATTGCCTAATTATGATTATTGTGCTTAAATGGTCTGAGAAAGGTAAATCAATGTGCCTGATTACAGTTCAAACTCATGCAGTTTCAGTGAATGATTTAATTAAGTTTCTTACATCAGTTAAGAATTCGTTTATCAATTTTTGCACTTTGTCACTCTCTTTTTCGTAGGAAATACTTATTGTGAGTCAGATGCTATTTATTTCTTTACCTGGCTTCTAAGTGATATTAAGTGTCTGAAAGAATTAGGGTAAGGAAGGAGCATCTGTCACCTCTCTAGCCGAGAGAAGTGGGACAGAATTTTCAAAACCTGGGCATCATTTTTTGGGCCGAATGAGTTGTTCCTAAGGGGCAAAACTATTGTGTTGTATGAGACCTTCTCGTTCCTAATATGGTAGTGGTTTTCTTTCTCTTTTTTTCCTTCTTTTTTTCTTTTGTGTGTGTGTCCTCTCAAACTGAGTTAACCAAGCAGCCAAACTGCTGCTGCGTGTGCTAGTGCAGTTTCAATTAATAAACCGGGGGGGAACCATGTCAGCCAGTGAAGCAGTATCTTCCAAAATGGTTTCATGCTGGAAAGGCAGCTGTGAGATCAGTACAATCAAACCGAGACCTGCTGACTGTGGAAATTTGGACAACAGAAGGGTTGGTAGGAGGTCAGAAACTTCAGCAGTCAGCTATAGTCACCATGAACCTACTGTTATTCATTATTGATCTGCAGTACTCTCACAAGAACACTTCAAGAATATGAACATGACATTCATCAAGCCAATGAAAGAAAAAAAGTAGCCTTGAGTAGCTGGATGTCAAGTGCTATGACACACAGACTACCTAAATTTATATAACTAAAAATTAATGAAAACAAGTGTTTTTATTACCATGGTTCTTATCTTACAAAGTAAATGCAATGTGAATTTTGTGTATTTGTGCTTGTGTGTAGGTGTCTGTAGAGGATCGCCTTAAACAGTTACAGGAGGCACACCGAGATTTTGGGCCTGCATCACAGCACTTTCTTTCCAGTAAGTTCTTTGACTTACCAGATGCATGCAAGATATGATGGTTTTCTCAAACACCAACTGCTCTTTACTCGAGATTTCCCTATGGCTTGAGAAACAGAAAGTTCCTCTACCTGTTATTGTCTACTTCCCTGTTTTTCTAGGGGAGTTTCATCTTCATAACTCCACTGACATTCTCACTGGTGTGCTTCTCACTGTAATATCTTGCTGAGTTATTATTGCACCCCAGGTTACTTTATTCTTTGTCTTCTGTTTGCTGCAAGGTCTGACATTTGGCTGTTCCCAAATCTTTATGTGTTCATAACCACATCTTCTCAGCCCCTGCTACCTCTTTCCCTGTTTCCTTTTGCTTCCACACTGGGATCATACAAAGGAAGAGCTGCCTGGATCTGGATTGAACCTCAAATAGAGGGGTGCAGAAAGCAAACCTGCATCAATTCCTCAAGACCCGTCCTTTCATCATTTTCTAGTGAAAATTGTAAGCCTACAATCTCCCATATACTAAGAAGGCAAAAGCAGATGCTTTTGATCCCTCGTTCTCATTTGATTTGTTACAGATAGATAGGTTGTGATATCAAGATCTGTGACTTTCTGATGTTCTAGCCTACCTGCTAGCATCAGAGCTCATGATACAAAGCATTAGCCCAATCAGGTGTCTGGTTTTAACTGAGGGCTTCAATAATAAAGATAAATTTATTGCAGGAGTTGAGAAGTGAGCATAAAAATAAGCAGCTCTGCCCCAGTGCTGAATGTCACTGTATAGCTAAACAGCTGATGTAATTTCAAAAAATAAATCAATCTCAATTTATTCTGGAGTTACATGATAACCATGTTCTTTTCTTAAATTGGCTAGATTTTCAGTAAACATCATGGTAAACAAGATGTAGTATATTTAAAATATTAGAGCTGTTATGCTAAATAATGATTCCTGGAGCCACTTTGTCTTTTCTTTTCTTGTCAGACCAAACAAACAGCTTTAAAAGTATGTGATTTTTTTTGTTTTGGCTTTTTTTTCTAAACCCCATTAGAAGTATTACGGTGTTGCCACCATGGTTTTATAGCCCTACCAATCTTGAATTTGTAACCTTGACAGTACACCTATGTAATAATTTGATAAAAAGAATATAGATAGAGTGGTACCTTTGGTACTCTTGGAAAATGCCAGATTAATTGTTTGGGAGAGTAGTCAGTCTACTGTGTGTAATTAAAACAGACTAGGAAGTAACAGAGAGAAGATGCAGTTTCCCCTACACTAGCTGGTTTGAGAAGTTCCTAACTTCACTCCTGTGTCACTGTTAAGTATGTTCACCTCACCTGGACCAAAGCAAATATTCAGGTGACCGATTGGTGTGGGGGAAAGCCAGTGAAAGAGTCTACATGAAAAACAAGGAAGATTTGCAGGCAAGGTTGGCTGGTGTTATTTGTCTTGACCTGGATCATTTCCTTGATTTAGGTTACAGCATGCCACAACAAATAGTTGTATTCAAAAGACTGAGTGGTGGACTGGCTTTGTTGCTTGATAAAACATCCATAGAATTATTTCCAAAGAGACTGTGCAGTGGCTTATCAGCATGCCTCAGCCTTGCTTGGGGCATCTTCTCCAGGCTTAAGGGGACATTCAGTTTATGTTACATACAAAAGTTGAGAATGGCAAGTTGAACAGAACAGAATGCCTGTTGGTAGTACCGCAAAGACATATAGCCAAGTAAGTGCTACACTTCTCCAAAACCAAGTAATATGCAGTCACCCATTTAAATTATTTGCTAAAAACAAACGACCACTTTCCCCACACAAACTACAGCTAAAACTTCTTCAAAAAAACAAACCTGTTTTAAGAGCTTGAACTAGACAGAGTTACAGAACTTAATACCTACAACTTTATATGAAGTCTTCTAAGTGAAAGTCAGGCACAGCAACTTCAAAGGAAAGTAATAAAAAAATCATTAAATCTGGAAAAATGAAGGGTTTATCCTGACAGGTTGAAATAGAGCGTATTCTAAATGAAATTTTTCAAAACTTTTTAGCAGCCATAAATGACTTCTGTGAGGAACAAGTAAAGCAGTATTCTGAATAAAATAATCTCAAACTCCTAAACCCGAGTGTATGATATGTATGTCTTGTACAAATCTGTATCACCAAAGCTGCACTGACAGCAGCTATTTAAATTTACCTCATCTTCCTGTTACTCTTGCTTCAAATCCTAACAAGAGACCATTGCTCGCCATCATACCGTTTTCAGATGACTAGCTCCTAGCTGTCATTTAATCTGTAAACTTTTTCTACCTGTTCATCAGATTCGTTATAAAGGACCTTATAATTTCACCAGGTTCATCTTTTCATTGGAAAAGCATTCTAGATGAGATCATCTAGCACCCTGATTCCAGCCCCATTAATCCAGTGATTTCATCTCTGCAGCAGCTAATAACGTTTCTTTCCTAAAAAGACACAGTGATGTCTTTAATACTGCTTTTGGAGCTTTTTGACAACCAATTATATGGATTCATCCAGACCATTGCTAAGCAAGTGCTTCAGAATATTTTTGAAGAATAGCAAACAATATGGCATCATCTTTTCCTAAAGCGTCCTGCAGTAGGAGGCTGAGGTAAAGCAGTATTAGCAGGCCATTACAGTCTACGATCCCTCTCGTATCTACGCTGTTTTTCCCCTTTCATCAATTGTAGGCAAAATGCAATTGCTCTTTTTTTCAGTGCTTTTGAAATGGAAAGTATGCTCCTTGCAAGTTAGTGATCAGTAAATTTTACGCATCCCTAATACACGTAAAGATGAAGAATCCTTATTATTTATGACTCTTTGCAAAGAGGTTGTTTTGCTGTTTCTTGCATTTAGAAATAATAGCTTGGGTTTTTTTTCCTGTAATTCATGTGTTTTTTTCTAAAGCATATGATCCACTCATCTCTGTGGTGTTTTGTGTAGTCTTAAAAAGATCCACGGTGTGCTAACGCCACGTTTCCTAACAAATAGCCCAGGTCTTTAAGTGTCCTGCTCAAAGCATCTTTGAGTGGTGTCCAGCCTTACTAATATCTGCAGGCCTGCTAGTGAATGCCAGAATCAGTAACTACTTTGTTCAGTTCTCATCAAGAAACTAATTTTAAATAAGAATGGGAATATGATTTTGCAGAGCTTCATGCAGCGAAGAACTTGCAATGTTTTTGGAAAGGTTGTTCCAAAATAGGCAGTATATGACTTGGCCTGTAATAACTGTTTAATTTATAACGTTGTTTAGTCCATATCTGTGTCAGTGTAAAATATCTATAGTTTGCCACAGCACATAAATTGTACATAAGCGAAGTATGGCCAGATTTTTCTTCTTAGTTGTCTGCCTTATTAGTGTAGTAGTACCAGAGCCACCACAGCTGCCAAATTGCACCACTGAAGAAACTTTACCAGGTAACTACCTACCTCTTTATTGCAAATATTATATTCTTCTTTAAGTAGTGATATGGAATTTTCTCTATTTTTCCTAGCGAATAAAGTAGCTTACTTGGTTCCTGTAATTTCTCAGATATTCTTCCCAGTTAATCTTTATTTCAGTACATGAATGTTTCTTAAATTATAAGGCATGAAATTTTGTGTGGTCAAGGAATAGGTGACAGCCATTAAACCCCTCAAGGAACAGCCAGCCAGGAGCAGGGTGGGACCTGCCTCTCTGCAGCAGCACCAGCCTATGGGGCATACGCAGCTTAGAAGTCTTTGCTGCAGCCTTGAGAGGTCTTAGGGGAAGAGGAGAGTTACTTACAAATGGATTCTAATTTTTTTTTTTCCTAAAGAGGAATGAGCTTTAAATTGAATCATGCTTGCAGAAAATTACATTAATTGAGAGTTTAATTACTTGAGACCCAGCGTGGATCAAAGCTGTGTCTCATTTTTATCAGCTTTTTGAGAAGCGGTGTTAGTACCTAAGAGTAGTCTTTTTGTCTTGGAAATGTTGGCATGTGTGTATACTTTAAATTCCTTCCATTGTGATGATCAGTTATTCCTACCCGTTCTTTCAGTCTCTGCTTCTCCATTAAATCTAGTGAAGTGAGTTTCTTCTATAATGAAACCCTAATTCACCAGGCACTAGCCCAGTAATTTCTGGTAGGACACATATGTACCTATGGTTCTTCAGTAAATAGCTGCTTTTAAGTTGTGCACCAGCAGTCCTGTAGGCCTGAACAATTTTCCCCTCTTCTCTCCTGGGATCTTTAAATAAGCAGAGTTGCAGTGTCATGTATGACTTCATGCCCTTTGTAACTCAGTGTGCAGAAGGTTTCTTGATGTTATGGATGGTATTTGTTCATGTATCAGACTAGCATAAATTCTGCAAAGATTACTGCTGATCAACAAGGAGTCCAAGGACAGGTTTTAATGCCTTTTTTTTTTGGTGGTGATACAGTGTTAATCAATATTAATTTGAGTTGCAAATAGGAGCTAAGGTTGGTAAGCAATAAAAACAAGGTTCATATTTCTCCTTTTTGTTCTGTTGCAGAGCATTAATTATAATAGTGGAAGCATTTATTTTCAAACCTTAAACTGATAATAATTGTATTGTGGTAGGAAAACCAGTGTCTCCATTTTCACCCGATGGATAGCTTGCTTGCTCAGAATATATTGTGCTTCTTTGAAATAGAATCACCACATTTGTTTTGTTTTCCAGATTGGCCTCAAATAGATGCCTAGAATGATCATGACAGATTGATGTTGTTTTCTCCAGCTGATTTTCTAATTACTGAAAGTTGTCGGGGAAATTTTAATTGTTCCCATTTAAGTGTTTTAATTGTAAAATAAAAACATAAAGATAGGGTTTTTTTTGTTTGGGTTTTTGTTTGGTTTTTTTGGTTTTTTTTAAAGTGCTTTCTAATAATCACCTTTTCTTTATTTCCTCAGCCTCAGTACAGTTTCCATGGCAGAGATCTGTTTCACATAACAAAGTGCCCTATTACATCAAGTAAGTTTGCCTTGATTCTTTCTTCCTTAAGCATAACATAGGGTCTTATCACCACAACCTGGTAGAAAAACATAGGTACTGAGTAATAGCTACAAATGTTATCAAGAGCTTCTCTACAGAGAAACTGCATATAACATATATTTTTGTGTTTATTGCTTTGAAAATTGTATAATTTAGAAATATGTAAAAATAAGTCAATGACAAACCTTAACATAAAAGCCCACTCAAACCGACAGGAAACAGCAGAGATGCTACAATGTTATATGGTATTGGTATTCGAGCTATTCTTATGTGTGTGGCTCATCCAGAGTATAATAAACTGTAGAGTAAAGGAAAAAAAGCTGAATACACAATGCATTTTAAAATGCAACGTTTAGAACCTGTAGCAGAACAGTGGTGGCTAATATCTATAGAGGCCATTCATCATTCTGTACAAAATTCCTTCAGAAATAAGATATGTGTTGACTGTCCTGTTTTGTTTAACTTATAGAAGTTTTTATAATGCTTAATATTAAGGTAAATTTAACATTAATGTAAATATGGACAAAAATTGTACAAATACCTTGGTTCTTATGCGCAGTGGTTGAGATATTTATTTTGAAAATGGTAAGGAATACTTAGTTGTGGAAGTGTGGAGATTTTGATGTGTTCTACTCTGAGCAGTCTTTAACTTGGGTATTCTCATTCCATCAATATTTATCCATATACTGTTTGCCAGTACTTCAAAGGTCAAAGATTGAAGCTTTAAGAGAAGGATAGCTTTTTACCAGAGAGGTAAATGAAATTTTAAGAAGGTACAGTTATAGTAAGCCAGACCCAGAGTAGTTCATTTTAGGCTGAAGGAAATCTGTGTTAAAATGTTATTGGTTTGAACTTGTAAAAAAAGTAGTGTTTTTTAAGTCAATGGGATGATTATGAGTTGGACCTGCAGATCATTCATTCTTAAAGAACATCAGTGAGGGCTTTTTACTACTACTGCATATCACTCTGTCATAAATCCAAGTGCCACATTTTGTGCTTCAAACAATTTATGAGTGCTTGAGATCTTTGAAGAGCAGGTAACAGTAAAACTATGTTGATCAAATCTGTTATTGTCATTCCTGAGGTGTGATGGTTGATTTTAAACTGTGACATGAAGATTAATGTTTTTTTTAAAGTGTCTGAGTAGTAAGTAGAAAAAGGAAAACCTGCTGTGAATATCCTTGGATTCTCTATAGAGGCATTTGTGCCTCTGCTGAGAAGTTTTTCAGGAAGCAACAGAAAGCTGTGACACCTGGCAGTAGAGGTTCCTCCCTTAGTCCCGAGTGGAAGAGGATAGGGCAGAGGCGGGATGTGGAAGCACAGTGACTGCCCAGACTCAGGCAGCAGCACAATGAAAATGGTCACCCCTACAGCAGTAATTCAAAGAAAACACTGAAGTGTCAAACTACAGAGAGCAAGAGGAAAACTGCCCTGAATCTTTTTTTTTTCCTTGTGGGTATGTGCTTAGTGGGCTTTGAAAAATGGCAACTCATGTTCCTGCTTTATTTCATCAGACCTGGTAGCTAAAGTTGGCAGTGTTCACTGCATGTGACTTGGACTGTGGGGGGATCTGTGGAGCTCCCCAGCACATTCAAACTTGGAGGATAGAGATACGATGGATAGTCCTCCCAGCACAACAGATGAAACAGGCTAAGATTAAAGCTTCCGATCTATGCTGAGCAAAGCAAAGTTTTTTAACTACCATATTTCATGTACATATATCTTTTTTTCATACTTCGTAATATGGTGGTGTTTGATTTTTTTTTTTTTTTTTTTAAATTTCTGGACATGTCCCTTACTCCAGCCTAGAGAGAGTTCAGTTTTTGAGAAATGTTTTTTTATCACAATTAGGTCACAAGAAAGTAAGGCTGTACAGAGTGCGCACTAGGTGAAGTCCCACATGCACACAACTTGGTGGCAAAGTATCCACTGATACAGTGGGATTGCTCTGGTAGTAGTGTGTTGGCTGAGCTAGAGCTAGATTGGGGAACGAAGCCAGTCAGGGCTGAGAAACAAACCCTAACATCTCTCAGAAATTGTTATAATGGTCTTGCACAGGATAAAGGGGCAGGAGTGTAGCACAAGTTCTGTGAGAGTCAAGGTCTTTATAAAAGCAGAGACCACTAGTTTATTTTGAGGATGACTTTAATGAAGTGAGAAGAATTAACTACTGCATGTCAAAGACTTTTCCAGTAATGTTCCTCTACTTTCAACATGATACACACTGTTGATGCAATGTGATGATTATTGTGTCTTAATAGAGAAGAATGATGTCACATGTAGCCACTAGGATTTATTAATTTTAAAAAGCATGAGGAGGAATACTGAATTTCAGTACCTCCACAGTCTGACAAGCAGCATGACCTTGGCAGTTTCCTTCACTTCTTATTGCTTACTGATCTGAACTTCAATATTGGCAGCAGCAGCTAGATAAAACAGAGAGTTGTGGAAAATAAACCAGAAAAGAGCTGATTCTGAACCTCATTTGCTTTGGTCAGGCTGGAGAGTACTCTTAGCTTTAAATATTCTTTTATTCCATTCCCAAATTTCAGATATAGTTTAAGAAAAGAGGAAAACAGTGCAACACAAAAAAAATTACTTGAATGTAGTGATTACATGAGGTTTTTGTAATACAATTCAAGAGAATAGTCTACAGGATTTAATGGTTTATTGATTTCTTAATATAGAAATAAATTCTGGGGCAGAGGTAAAGAATATTTTTCTCTTTTGTTTAATTGTACTAACATCTTTGAACAAGGTGCCTTTATGAAACACGAGTGAAAGAAACAGTTATGATGAGTCTCAATAATTGTAATTCAAGAGCAATTATATTTACTGTCTTTACAGCAAGATTTGTATATTCGGGGAGAAGGTTTAAGGTACCAGTAGTTCATTTTATGGGATAAGAAAAAAAAAAAAAAAGCCAGAACAAGGAGAATAAAAGTATCATTCAATGACTGGTGACTGAAAAATGAGATTTTTTTTAATTAATTTTGAAAAGGAAATAAATGCTTATTGAAGCCTTAAAGGCTACTTTAATTCTGAATGAGAACATACACTATTCTTAGACAACCATAAATTCATACCTTTACTTCATTTTGATTGCTTTTTTTGAGTGTCCTTGAATGAGAAATGTACAATATTCAGAAAGTGACATAGCTGCAGATGATGATGTAGTTCTACCTCTGTTAAGATGAGTATTAAAAACAATAAATAAAATACTGCAGTCTTCACAGTTTTATTGCACACAGAGAATGGAGCTAAAAAAAAAATTAGGGAACGGCAACTAGAAAGCAGGAGGGATTACTTTATGTAGCAATGAATCTGTAAGGAGAATGTCAAAAAGATGCGAGACGGCTGCATTTTCAGATGAGCAGCATTTATTCTGTTTGCTTCCTAACGCCAGAGGTAACTTGCAGTTACACACATAGAGAGCAGCGTCTCAGGGAAAGAAGTCTTTTGCATGCCAGAACACCATGGTGGCTTTGGAGTCAGTTTGGCATTTCTTACTGTTGTTCTTTTAACAGTAATTTAAGCATTCTTCATCTGTGTACCTTTCACTGCTATAAATTATTGCATATTTGTACTGTGCAGAAGAAACAAAAGGGTAATACAGAAAGGGTCACAGTGAGTTTAATCTCATGCAGGGCATTATATAGGGAGAACAATTTCTTGGTGTAATTATGAAGTTGATCAGTATCAAACTCCATAGTCACCCTGGAATCCTTCAAAGAGACTGGCATCACTGACATCTTAAAAATCCCATTTTATCCCCTCCTATAGCAGTATTTCCCTTAGAAAAGGGGAAAAAAAAAAATTTGCAGAAAAAGGTAATAGAGGTTTCAGGTTTTGAGAGTTTCTTCAATTACTAGTTCCTATGCTGGTCTTTGTTTCCTATTAAAGAAATGCATTTTCTCCGGAGGGATTTCAAAATATCTGCATATATATTGCTCCACCAACCTCTACTTAGGTTGCCTTGCAATTAGCCTTGCAATGCATTATGCCAACTCTTTTTCACAAAACAGTATTTTCCAATGGGCTTAAAAAGAAAAAGAAAACATGTATATCTAGATAAAGCACCATGCACATTTGTAAAGTGGACGTGTTGTTATGCCATTTGAAATTTGGCAGTGGCAGCAAAGTCAGAGTTCTGAGTGCTGTTGATTCTTTACTGCTCGGTAAAGATCTTTATTTCAGGTAACATTTTGTGCAAATTGATTACAGGAGCAGAAAGCAGCTTAACATGATGCCAGAATACAGTTTCAGTGTCTGATCTTGTGCTGTTTGCCAGTGATTATCAACACAACATTAGACCTTGCCTGTGCTAGGAAATGATAAAAACCCCAGAAACCTGTCTCTAGTATTCTTTCATGTAGACAAAAAGCTGAAAAAGAAGGAATTGAATTTTACTTTTTCCATCCCACAATTCCATGGGCAGCTTGCCAACACCTGGAGATGTACATCTTCATTCATTTCAACAGGACTGTTCTCTTATTTCTAGAGATCACAAGTTAAATGACAAGCTAGCTGTTCCTCAATTCTGTATTTACAACCAGGATGTGTTTTTAACATGAATTATCTTTGCCAATTATAGTTAGAAAGCTGCCAGCAAACATAATGGATAAGAAACAGATTGCAAGGGTAAATGTTTGTCATTTAGGCTTTAGAGCACTTCATTAATATGTAGCTTTTAAAACGTGGAATATTTTATGGTTATAATGTTTATTTTTAGTTACTGAGATATACACAAATGCATTTAGACTTTAAATTACACTGTTGCGTCATGTAATCTATTCATGGATGCACGTTTTGCTCTGTGGCTTATACTGCATCATTAAGTTTTGCAGAACAGGGCTGAGAGACTCTGAATAACGCAGACTTTTTATATTAACCACTAAAAAAATAACACTGAATGATTCTCTCGTAGCTCAGTCAGTGAAACACTTTTAGTTCTCCCTTGACTGAAACAAGTGGGAAGA